AATTTTTTTTTTTTTTTTTTTTTTTTTTGTGCATATATAAAATGGTGGCAAGGATTTTTACANTATATGAATTATGTTGTTATGAATAAAAAATAGCAAACAAAATCTACACAAAATATCAAAACTTTTTTCCTTTTTTCTTTGATTGTCTTTGCATTTTTAAAAATTAAATATTTCTAAAATTTTTATCTCTAATAAACTTTTTTAGCTCCTTTTATTTTATATTTTTTTCTAGTTAGATATGTTAAAACATTATAATCATTTTTTATGTTTTCCAGAATCTAGGTTTCAATTCCTCCTTCCTTTTATATATTGTTTTAATAAATAATTTTTTTATTTTGCTTCATAAAATGTTAAAAAAAAAAAAAAAAAAAAATTAATAAAAAAAATATGAAATTATATATTCTTTTTTAAGTGTTGTAATTTTGGTATATTATCATATAGATATTTTGCTTGTTCTTTAATATTAACATAAATGGGATGAATCATCTTATAAGCATTATTTATATATGTATCATTTATATAATTATAAAGAAATATAACCCATGTTAATAAATAAAAAAAAACATTAAAATTTATAAAAGATAAAATATTTCCTAAAAGATAAATTATAATAATAACAGTTATATTTTTCATTCTATTGTTCCATAATAAATATTGCCTAATAATTGTTAATTTATCATTTAATTGTTCATATAAATAAATTACACAATATTCTATTTTTTCTTTAGATATTATCTCTAATTTATCATCTTCCTTGTATTCTGATATTTTATGTACTTTAAGAAATACAACTAAACCACTTAATAAAAGCAACATTATACATAATGTACATATTATTTGTAAAAACGTTTGATTTAAAATATATAATAATATATATAAAGAATTTATCGATGAAAATATCGATAAAGTTACAATATTTTTTGAATTAACATTCATTTTTTCCAAATATAAAAGATTAAAAACTTTTTAAAAATAATATAAGTATAAAATATTTTTATGTTAAATAATATAATGAATAAAAAACAAAATAAAGTATTAAAAGAAAAAAAAATAATAGATGAGATATGAAAAAAATGCAAAAAAAAAAAAAAAAAAAAGGTTTAAAAAATTAAATGAGGATAAAATTATAAAAAAACAAATAAGATTACTTAAAAACAAATAAATTCGTAAAAAATAAAAAAAAATTTCAAAAAAATGGAAAAAAATTCATTATTTTTCTTTAATTTAAAATTCACAAATATTAAAGAATATATAAAAAAAAAAAAAAAAAAAAAAATA